ACATCCGTTCGGTCCGGATGCACGCATTGCGGTGCCGATGGAGGAGGTCGATGCGGTATGTTCGGTGTCCTGTTGGAGGCGCGTGAGTGTTGGGAACGCACCATTTGGAGAGGGCCTTGATAAAAAAAAGAGGAAATCAGGAAGCTTACTTTCTGTCAGCAAATACCCTCTGCGAATAGATGAAAAAGAGTTACAATAAAAGTTACTGTTACTAGGGGCGATCATTGTGAATTCATTCTTGCCATTGTTCATACTACTAGCTATTACTAGCTACCAGCCGTAACAAGAGGCCGGTGGTGACTGTTGATGTTTGCAATCATCATCATCATATATGCCGACGAGAGTGCGTTGCGGTATGTAGTACCAAAGTGCAGCGAGTGCTCGACGCAACCGAGCTTCTCGTTCCTATCCTATCTACCGTGTATCGTTTCTAGCAACACGGTTTGCTTTGCACTCCAACGCAGGACACCGGCTCCGAACCATGCCGAGGAGTCCCGTGTGTGCCCCACCTCCCGGTCCTCGACGATGGACGTCGCTGGGGGATGGACCTCTCCGTGTCCCGGCCGTGGCCTTGGTWCAGCGTGCGTTTCGGTTGGTTGGTCGGTTGGTTTGCGGGCTTGCCTGCTTGCTTTCTTGCTCGTTCCGTTCGGTTCGGTGTTTTTGGGTGCTACGCCGGACGATCCTTCGGATCAAAGTAGTAGTCCTCGTATTGGATCCTCGCCGCCAGCTCGGGGTGTTGATAGGCATGGCGCGGCTGGGCTCCGGTGGACCCGTCCGAGGCCGTGTAGGTGTAGAGCCGGGTTGTGGCGATCGAGGGCCCCCCGAGGGCGGACGCCATGGCCACGTAGGTCGACTTGGCAAAGCCGACCAGCTCCTTGCGGGCCTTTTTGAGGAAGCAAAAGTCTTCCATGGCAGGGTCGCCGGRGGCGGTCGGGGAGGGATCGGTGCCCGGGGAGAAGCGGACCGTCAGGTTCCGGGCCCTTAGTGCTTCCACCAGCCCGTGGGCACCGGTGTTGTTTTTGAGCGAGTCCTTCGCCAGGTTCCGGCCGGCCAGGGCCAGCTTCCCCCCGCTCTCCAGGTTGGCAAAGAGCTCGTTCGCGATCCGGTCCCCGGGGAGCTCCTCGAAGCCCATTTTCCGGCGGCGGTCCGGTCTGGCAAACTCGGTGCCAAAGTTCCGGTAGTGCAGGACGGATTCGTCGGGCCCCGGGGGGGCCTCCAGCGTCGACCCGCAGCACGCTTCGTCGTCAAAGGCGAGGAGGGTCCGGACCACCTCGTCGTAGTAGAGGTCCAGGTACCCACTGAACATGTCGTCGAGGCGGACCATGGGGACCGGGACGCGGTGGTGGTCTTTGTGGCTGGACGTGGTGTTGGTATCGGTGCTTTCGCTGCGAACCGCGTCCCTCCCGAGGCCCCTTAGGTAGTCAGCCAGGACGCGCAGGTGCTTCCGGCTGGTCTCCAGGCTTAGATATTTGTCGAGGCCAAAGCCCGGGACCCCCGTCGCCTTGGCGTCGATCTCGTCGAAGTATCCCTCGTTCAGCAGTTTGTTGCCCAGACCGAGGTCGATCCCCCGAAAGTATGGGAGGCACCGGAGCAGCTGGCGGGCCGTCCTGGTGGCCTTTTCCCTGACGCGGTTSCGGCGATCGACCTGCATGGCRAAGACCAGCCGGGAAGCGATCCCGAACTCCTCCGCGGCCATCTTGGCGACCCCCMAGCCGTAGACGATCTTGAACAGGTTGTTCGCAAACTCGCCGCTGAGCAAGACCAGAAAGGTGACGGGGATTGTTTCGGTGCCGTTGGCAGTGGCTTCCGACCCGTAGCCCTCCAAACTCTGGTTGCCGACCGGTTTCGTTCGAATCGGGAAGAAGAGCGGCTGCTGTTCCTTCGGCTGCGGTGTTTTTTTGGGAGGGACGGTTTCCGTTTCCGTTTCTGTTTCGGTTTCAGTGTCGCCACTGCGTGTGTTTTGGTCTGTGCTGCTGTTAGAAATGGGAACGGGTGTGTCGAGAATAGCATCAAGGCCGCTGTTTGTGCGGTTGTTGACGGTGTTGTTGGTGCTACTGTTGTTGGTGCTGCTGTTGACGGTGTTGTTGGTGCTGCTGTTGACGGTGTTGTTGGTGCTGCTGTTGTTGGTGCTGCTAGAGACAGACACAGTCAATTTCGGAGTGTCCATTGTGGAGAGTGCCAGCAACACACCGAGCTGGTTCCGCTCGCGGCCGATGGCTGCCACCGCCAGAGCTAGCACCACCGCGATCCACCAATACTTTGCGTGATGGGATCTCATATCCGTTCCTTTCCTTTCCTTTCCTCTCGAACCGAGTTCGCTCGAACCGGTTTCGATTGCAATGTCCGATGCCAAGAGAAGCGATTACAATCGGTGCGATACGGTCCAGACTCACACCCACTCCATCAACGTCAACGTCGACGTCAACATCAACGTCAACACCGAGCTGCTTGGTTTGGTTTATTGGCGGACCGAGTGAAAAAGTACAAYGAGTCCGAAACAGAAACATTCTCGTTTCAATGTCCATGCCAGTCRCGCAGTCACGTCGAGTTCACGAGTTGCTTCCTGGTACGTTCAGTTCGTATTGTACCATAATATCGTACGTACCGATACGTACTGTTCTGTCATTTGTCACGCCATTCCGTATCGTACAGTTCGTACAGTACTTGGTATGGTACTAAACTAAGTTCAAAAGCAATATGATATATGATCATATGTCTGGTATCTTCAGAGACTAATAATCATACGTGCGAATAAGGTTATGAGCCAGAAGAACGAGGGGTGCGAGGACAGACCTTTTCTCGGAACGACATACGGTATCGTTCACCCGCGCGTCTCACGTACGGTACCGTAGTACGGTACGGTACCATATTACCGTATGGTGCTGGTTTCTCGAAGTCCACGAACAGCGTGTACGGTAAAGTTCGTACGGTACCGTACTAATATGTCATTCCAAGATACGGGACTTTTTTCGAACGCCACCGCCTTCCATCCTTTCCCCGCGAAAGGAAATTCGAGAGGACAACCAAAACCAAAACTTGCATACCGGTAATGGTACTTTACTCATACTCGTACTTGTTCTCGTACCCGTGCTCGTAGATGTAATGTATCGTATCGCAATCGTACCTACCGGTTGTGTCGGCGCGGTACGGGATCGATGTACGGCGCTGCTACGCAACGGCTGCTATCCTGCGCTGACACGAGGGAATTGCACCTGCCGACACAAGGACTCGGGACGCCACAAGGATTGCATCGGGTTTGTATCGAATTCCCACCGTTCTGTTCTGGTCACACAACACGACACAACACAACTCAACTCAACTCAACTCAACTCAACTCAACTCAACACTACATCCACCGAAGCACACACACCATGTCTTCCAAGTGGCACCAGAAAAAGGCCCGGCAGGCCGAATTTGCYTTCGAGAAGKCCCTCCAGASCCGCAAGGACGAGGAGATAGACGTGAGCGTCCTCRTCAAGAGCACCGCGATGGGGGGCGGGGACGACGAGCTCTTCGAAAAGAAGCTGAGCAAGGAAGAAAAGAAGGCCCTGGCCAAGAAGAAGCGCGAGGCCAAAAAGGCGGCCAAGAACAAGGGCAAGAAGGGAGGAGGAGCGGACGCCGGGAACGACAAGGACGACGAGGAGGACCTGGCCCGGAAGATGGAGGCCCTGGGCGGGGCCGGCGAGGAAGGAGGCCCCCAGGGAAGCGGSAAGACCGCGGACGACGGGATCGACCACGAGGCGTCGGACGCGCTCGCGGCTGCCGGGACGGTCTGCACCTTTGCCACCAGCCGCAAGGGCGTCGACGCCCGGGCCCGGGACGTCAACGTGACCAACGTCACCCTCCTGCACATGGGGGCCGTCCTGCTGGACGAGACCTCGGTGGTCCTCAACCACGGGAACCGCTACGGGCTGGTGGGGAGGAACGGCTGCGGCAAGTCCACCCTGCTCAAGGCGCTGGGGGCCCGGGCCCTGCCGATCCCCAACTCGATCGACATTTTCTTTCTCAAGGAGGAGGTCGAGCCCAGCGACACGCTCTCGGCMMTSGACGCCGTCATGGAGGTCGACGAGGAGCGGACCAAGCTCGAGAAGCAGGCGGAGGACCTCAACCAGCTCATGACGGACGTCATCGACAACCCCGAAAAGTTTGCTTCGGCCTCGGACGGGGACGGGGACGCGGCCAAGACCCCGGAGGACCTCCAGGAGGAGATCATGGACGCCCTCAACGCGGTCTACGAGCGCCTGGACGCCCTGGACGCGGACACGGCGGAGGTCCGGGCCCGGTCGATCCTCAGCGGCCTCGGATTTACCCACGARATGCAGGCCAAGAAGACCAAGGACTTTTCCGGGGGCTGGCGGATGCGGGTCAGCCTGGCCCGGGCCCTCTTTTTGCAGCCGGTGTGGTGAGTGCGACGCGACGCGACGCGGTGCGGTGCGGTGCGGTGCGGTGCGGTGCGGTGCGATGCGATGCGATGCGATGCGATGCGATGCGATGCGATGCGATGCGATGCGATGCGATGCGATGCGATACGATACGATGCGGACGACACGACGCGGGAAAGACTGCGAGCCTTCGAGCCGTTGATGGCCGTGTGGGTGAAACGAACGGGTGTGGAACCAGGCCGCGTGGCTCACCATGCTGTTTCTCTTGTTTTGATTGTTTTTGTTTCCRTCTGTTTTTGTTCCATTCTGTCTCGATTCGTTCCTGCTTGGACGCCACCTGCCACGCAACAGCCTGCTGCTCGATGAACCGACCAACCACCTGGACATGGAGGCCGTCATCTGGCTCGAAAACTACCTCTCCAAGTGGGACCGAATCCTCCTGCTGGTCAGCCACTCGCAGGACTTTCTCAACAACGTGTGCTCCCACATGATCCACTTTACCAACTCCAAGTCCCTCGTCTACTACGACGGAAACTACGACCAGTTCGTCAAGACCAAGTCCGAGAAGGAGGAAAACCAGTGGAAGCAGTACAAGTGGGAACAGGACTCGATCAAGCAGATGAAGGAGTACATCGCCCGCTTCGGACACGGTACGGCCAAGAACGCCAAGCAGGCGCAGTCCAAGGARAAGGTCCTCCAGAAAATGATCCGGGCCGGCCTCACCCCCAAGCCGGAGGAGGAAAARATCCTCAACTTCAAGTTCACCGATCCGGGACACCTCCCCCCGCCMGTCCTGGCCTTCCACGACGTCTCCTTTGGCTACCCGGGGTGCGACCCCCTCTACAAGAACGTCAACTTTGGGGTCGACCTCGACTCCCGCGTCGCCCTGGTCGGCCCGAACGGGGCCGGAAAGACCACCCTCGTCAAGCTCATGGCGGGGGAGCTCAACCCGACCCTCGGGGACATCCGGCCCCACGGCCACCTCAAGCTCGGCCGGTTCACCCAGCACTTTGTCGACGTTCTGGACCTGGAAAAGACCCCCCTCGAGTTCTTTGAGACCCTCTACCCCAACGATCCCCGCGACGAGCAGCGCAAGTACCTGGGCCGGTTCGGCGTCAGCGGCCAGATGCAGGTCCGCAAGATGGCGGAGCTATCGGACGGACAGAAATCACGCGTGGTCCTCGCCAAGCTCGGGCGGGATGTCCCCCACATCCTCCTTTTGGACGAGCCGACGAACCACCTGGATATGGAGAGCATCGACGCCCTGGCCAAGGCCGTCAACGAGTTCGACGGAGGCCTGGTTCTGGTCAGCCACGACATGCGGCTGATCAGCCAGGTGGCGGAGGAGATCTGGATCTGCGACAACCGCACCATCACCAAGTACCGCGGAGACATTATGAACTTCAAGATGGACATGCGCCACCAGATGGGCATCGAGGGAGAGCAGGCGGYGGCCTCCAAGGGAGGAAAGCTCCAGGGAGACGCCAGCGTCAAGGCCAAGGCCGAGAAACCCAAGCCRAAACCACCTCCGRMGAAACCCCCCAAGCTGGAGGTCCTTTCGCCGGCRGCGGCGACGAAACCCGCCGGGGTCACCACCATCCGGGAAGAACCGCCAGCGGCACCGGCACCCACCGTGGCSTCGGCGGTCCCGGATTCCCTCGCCACCAAGGCACCACCGGCCGCCAAGAAGGCCGACGATGCCTCCACCGTGGCCACGGTGGCGTCCACCGGCAGCGGAAGCACCGCGACCGGTGGCGGTGCAACCGCTGCCGCCCCGGCCAAGAAGCGGTACATCCCCCCCCACCTGCGGAAAAAGATGGCCGCCGAGGCCGCRGCGGCACAAAAGTAGAGCGGCGGACGCGGTTCGATTCATATCGAATCGATTCAGTTTTTGTTCGGATGGTTCGGTTTGCACCGCCGGTGGCACCCTTCCCACTGCCCGCACGAATTAGATAATATAAACAGTCTTTTTTTAGGAAGTCCACTGCTGACAGTAGTACTATGTAACAATTTCGTAACTATGCAATACTAGAATCTAGGAAAACAAACATAGCTCGTTTCTCCAATAAGTGTTCCAAGAATGTGTTTGCGTCAATTGGCTTCGAGGAAGCCACTGAAAAAATCGATTCTGGAAGATTCGGGCGTTCGGGCAGCACGGGGAGCCGAATCGGAGCATCATGGATTCCCATAGGTTTGCATCTCCTGTCTATAAGTCGGTAACAGGACCGCGAGAGAAACACCAGAACTCTGTTTGTCGTTGTCGGTTTTTGATCTTTGCTGAGATGGAAGATCTCCTCCTACCTCGTCTTCTACACTGGGAGCTTCTGAGCTGGGACATAAATTCTCTTCAATGTCTTCTGTTGCCCCTGCTATTGCGGATCCCCATGTTTTCATTCATAACACACATGCATATAAACCAAATAAACTCATATATCCTACCCTCACCTTCATCGGCGTGTCTTTACCAGCTCGCACGGCCCGCACGCACCTCTGGATCGAATGACAATTCTCCTGTTCGAGCAATCTTTGCCAGGTGCTCCCCGGCCGTCAAATCACCAATTTTGCACTGCCTCGGGTTATAGTCGTTCCAGTCAAACGCGAGTGCATCGAGTCTCTCACGAATGGTGTTCTCGTTGTAGCCAAATTCCTTGGCCAAATACTGTGGCAGCTTCAACTGCATGATTTTCATGCCAATGTTCAGGCCCGCAAGATTGTCCTGGTTGTAGTGAACGCCAGCCACAGARCGCCCATACGATACCGCATAGTCGGTTCTGAGCGCCTGTTCGTATTGTTCCGGTTTGAGATCAACCACCGCCGGCAACCATGTGCTGAGAGTGGATCCGGCTGAGTGCATGGCAGGCCAGGAGGGATGGAAGGGGCATCCTTTCTCGTAGGCAGTAAACTCTGGGGCAGACCCGAGGTTCATTTCCTTGACCATTTCCACGACRTCTCGTGGGATTCCATCATCAGTAGTTAGCTTATCCTCGGTAATCGCAAAAGCTACTTCCTCGGGCCGTGGCATGCCATAGATCCATTTRAGGCCAAAATTGACGGGGGCAACCGCATGGAAGGCCCAGGTATTGATGCATGCCAGCCGTGCCTGCAGACCGACAAAGTCGTTCAAGCTACGAAAGTTGGGTTCGTTTGGGTACGGGCGCAAGCTGCCGCTGGCAAAGAAYTCGTCGAGTAGRTTTCCCTGGTGCAAGGCGGGATATTCCGAATTGACCGCCTCAGCGATCGTCGTCAGATTAAAWTTTTTCCATCTTTTCCATATATCGGGCATCATGGCCTTAATTCTTCTGACCTTTTTTCGATTCAACCGCTCATCCCTGCGAAGGAGCTGTAGGTCTACAACCTTCTTGAACTGGCCCTTCCAGAAWGGTTTATTCTCGGGGAAGACACGTCTCCATTCGTTTCGGTCCCGGGCAAGTTCTTCTATAAGAAACGAAATCTCACGTTCAGTTTCATTTTTGTTGGTTTCGAAGTCGTTTTGGATATCTATAGGGGAATCCGCAAGGCTTCTTTCGCGAACAGCGTTCCGTAACTGCGGTGGATTCTCCGAATACAAGGGATATTTGAGTGGCTCAAGCTCGATCCCAATCTTTTGAAATCGGAACGGATCAGAATTCGACGATAGAAAGCGAGTTGTTCCAACATTTGCATCGCAGAGTTGGAGAGCGCGGGATAGCGAAAAGCGATAGCAACTGGTAGTGGCGAAAACGAAGGCACGGCGGCTAGAGAGAGACATGGTATGGGATAGAAGCTGAATTGACATTCTTTCGAATTGTGAAGCGTTAGACGGATGCAGGGAGGAAGACGCGAGATGTTCAATATTATTACAACGTCATCTATCTGTACCACCTAACGTACTACCGTAAAATATTACGATAAAATATGAATCAAAATTTGGCATCCATCAGATAAAAACTTTTCGTCGGGTGCACCTGACACACGCATTTATTCTGTGGCATATACAATAGCGTAGGAGCGATTCCATTCAGGTCTATGCAATGACCCCCAGAGCGAAATGATTTATGTGATATGCCTCTTTACTGTTTTAGAATGACGAATGACCAAAAGAATAACCTGACAGAAACATCAATGCCATACTGCAATAGAATTATTGGTACAAGGAGTACGTACGTTCCAAATTATGACTTGTACTGGTACTGCACGGTTCGAAGTGAAGATCCTTGTACGTCCTTGTATCATAGGCCTAKCAGTRGTGGCAGAGGAGAYAAAAGATAGCGACCAAACTTCTGCGCAACTCACTATATTGCCACTAAATCWATTAGACATCTTACTAGAAGATATRAAAATTTTCCTCGTCTCTGTCTAATGTTGTAAAAAATGGTCTTCTTTGTAGGGAAGAGCAAGAAGTACTGCATACTTGCAGTAAAGACAATTCAACTAGTATTACTCTAGTTGTACTACTACTAGAACTACTAATAGTGCTTGAATTGAGGAATTTTGTTGGACTGATTGATTAGTACTTATAGTACTTTATAGCTCGTAATTATTTTGAGTTGCTTGTACGACCTCTGTCAGTTGTTGACACTGCAGCAAGTTTTATTGACGTTTGCTTCATATCATCTGGTGGACAAGGGCACAAAGTTTTCTTTGTCAAACAAAAGACTGATTGGGATTGAATTTGTTGAGTGCAGGTACATTACAGATATACAAGCCGATTGATGTGCTCAACCAAGCCTGTGGGTTTCGTCAGATTGCATTAAGCGTTGTGCTCTATATTGTTCGTCTTTGTTTCCTTTTCGGGGCATTCGGTGCTTGAGTTATTTGTAACAAGCACGAATGTGAAAAGGCCTGGCCAGACAACAACAGAATCTCAGGTTCRTGAGCTGCCAACGACTCCTCTAAAAGAAAGAGGTAGTGAGCGTGCTTTCGCTTTTTGGCCTGTCGTTSTTTCGTGGAAAGACCATGGACAGGGGTACAGGTATTTTGAAAACTTTTATGGTCTAGAGCCAATTCTACRACGAKGGGATAGTAGCCATGTCCTGATTCATGAATCTGTTTTGTTCAACACCGAAGCAGTCAAACGGTACTAAAAACTAAAACAGTTCATGGATACATCGATTGGTGCTCATTCAGTGGTTTTGCTATTTTGCTATGTTGTGCTGTGCTATGTAGTAAAGCTGCATTGCGTTGCACTGTGTTATATTGCATTATCAAGCGCTGGCGTGCCAAGCGCTTTCTTCGTTCCCGTTTCATTGCCCGAGCCCCCGTTTTCGTTGCCTTCGGTGTTGCGCCGGGCGGTTTCGTTTGGCATTCCTCCGTTTCTCCCTGTCGGCTTCGCGGGCGGGACCAAGGGGTTCCTGCTGTTTGCTGGCTCGACTCGGCGGTTGTTTGTTTACTCCTTCTGGGCGGTGGCGTCGGCGTACCGAAACTTGACCCGCTCGTAGGTCGATCCGAGGCCGGYCCCGATCCCGGTCGCTATCGCCGCGGACCTGCGGCCCTTTCCGCTCCTCAGGAACACCAGACCCAGCAGGCCACCGGCCAGGGCACCGGCCGCCGTCTTGATGAGGGCTAACACAACAAACAGCGCGTGGTGTCATTCGTGGTGGCATTTTGGTCGATCGGACGTGGAAGCGTCGCGGTGCGCGACGGAACGAAGACGGCACCGAGGATGCGGTTGGCGTGTTTTTTCGTTGGAATGCATGTTTTGTTTCGTGGATTGGTTGTCCGCACAAAAATTGCAAATGGAAAGTCCACACGCGAACGAAACAAACCGGAATACGGTTGTAGTGTACAGCAAGCATACCGGCCATATTTGTTCCGTGATTGCAACAAGCAGAACGTTTGGTTTCAGAATGCCACAAAGCGACCAAAGAGAGAAGAAATAAAAGAATGCGGTGTTGTGTAAGCGGGTTGGTTCGTTGGTTTCGTCCAAGTAGGAATGAATAAATCCATTCCTGTGGTGTACGAAGCGATAAGAACGGTGCGAAAAGCAATCTCGTTCCTCCTGTCGTGCCGTGCCGCTTTCTCCTCTCGCTTTGTGCATTGAAACGCGGTACACAAAGGACTATGAACAATCCAAACAGCTCGTTCTGGTGGACTCGAAAAAACGCACGCACCTTGTTCGATGTCGTCCTCGATTCCAGCGGGCAACTCCCACGTCGTCGCAGGAGTTGCTCCTGCCGGTGTTGGTGTCGCTGCAGTCGTGGACGGCGACGAGGAGGATTCTTCCGTCATTTTGTGTTTGGTTGCGGTTGTGTTTTAGAGACTTTGCGATGGAGCGTTGGTTTGAGCTTGATTGATGTTGCGTTCTTCGCTCCCTAATAGTGGAGGGATGTGTGCACTGCATGTCCAAAATCACGATGAAGGAATCCTGTACGAAGATAAGTGATCAACGGTACCGTACGTTTTGCCGTAGTTGTGTGCCAAACGGTAGGTAGGTCTGACCCATGCCGTAGCATACGATACTGTACAGTACAGAACGAGCTTTTTCCCCTACTCAAGAAACATACATATCTTTCGCATGTGCCGGCCGGCAGTCGTATTAGTCTTACGTTTTGTGGTACGAATGGCACATGGCATGGGATATGACGTCTGACTGAGTATTTCTGTGCTACATGTACCTACGAGCTTTACATACAATAGATATTTAATTCTGTAGAAATTGGATCTGGTACTTTTACTACTAGTATTACTGTAGATCACTTGTTACAATTACCAGTACCTTCGAAAAGTCACCCGCAGCCCAAAAATCGAGATTCTGTTCCGGAACAAATCATCCTTCAACTGCGGGCTCCGAGGTCGCTGTTTGCTCCAAGCAACGACAACAGCAACCCATCTCGTCCTCCGTTTCGCGACCGACGGCCCTCCTGTTTAGAGAGCAATGGCAACGGCGACGGCCGCGAAGGCCGCGACCCCGTTTCCGATGGCAATTGCCGAGGCGCCGGAGGACACATCGGCCATCTTGGAGATCTGGACACCGGGTGCCTCGAGCGGCTCGGCGGCCGCGAGCATGGGCTCGGGCATCATMGASGAGTGGTGGTGGGCGATCTTCCACTCGCCGTCTTCCATGGCGTAGACAAAGGAATAGCGTCCGCGGACCTTGGATCCGTCGGTGGCCATGGTGAACTCGTAGATCCCAACGTCGGAGACCCAGTCGTGTCCGATGTGGACAAAGCTCTCGATGATTTCTCCGCTGGGTTCTCCCTGGAGGAACT